CCCTGTTTTACAGGGGAACAAATTGAGATTCCATGAGGTTAGGAAATTTGAAATCACACAGCGAGCGGTAGGGCTGGCATTCCATGCAAGCCACTGAGAAGCCCCTCGTCTCTTTTCCTCTCCTGATGGCAGGGCCAGGAGAGGTGAAGGACACCCCCACCCCTACCACCTGCCAGGCAGGACCTTCCTGGCCACAGACGCCCTGGATCCCTGACTGGCAAAACCCAGCCCCAGCCTTTCAGTTGAGCAGAGAAACACTTAGATCTGGTTCCTCGATGGTCAGGGAAGGCAGGCTTCCTCTGAAATGCAGATGGCTTTACCCCTTTCTCATCTCATTACTTCTGAGCCCTGCCAGTGTGAGAGCTGCCTTTACCCACATCATCCTTTAAGAGGCAACAGAAACAGGTCCCACCTGAGCCAGCAGGAATGCGGCACCCAGTGGCTTGCACAGTCCTGATGCTTGCGGGCACCTTCGGGGCTAAGGACACCTTGTCGTAAATGCATGAAGAGCCCACGTTTCATGTATGTTGATGTTGATGCTCTTTCTTTAGAGGGACATTTGTGCACTGTGGAAACCTCTGTCTCCCCCAGTGTTACTCTTGCTATGAGGAGTGTGTACTGTGTGCAGGGGGCTGGTGGCCTTTCCCTGCTGTATGCCACAGCGTGTGAGGGGCTCATTGAGCCTCACACCTGCCCTTCCTTTCCGCTCTTGCCCCAGGGAGGCCCAGACCCAGGGAAGAGGGGTACTGGGAGTGAGTGCCAAGAAGCTGGGGTCCTAGCCCTGCAGCCACTGTCACAGCACGACCCCACCCCAGACCTCCAGAGTCGTGGGGTCCTGGTGGCACAAGCTCCAGAGGCTCAGCCAATACCAGGCCTGGGACCAAGGCCCCATCTCTGAGGCCTTGGCTGGCTGTTCTGGAAGGTGATGCTGGCTGGCAGCCATTCGCAGCCCCTCCAAGAGCAGTTGTGAGGCAGTCCCTGAGCTCCAGCGCCCTGTCCCCAGCAGGGCCCAGTGATCTCATGCCTGTGCCTTGCTGGCACTGGTAGGAGTGGGGTGACACTAGAGCTGGTGCCTATATCAGGGCAGCAATGTCTGAGGCCGAGGCAGGGGCAGGGTGCCCTCCCATCCAGCAGCTCCAGTGCCCACTCTGCCCCCTTTGGGGCTCCAGTGGCCCAGAGTGTGGAGGGGCGTGGCCTGAACACCCAGGACAGCTTTAGGCATTTCAGAGATTTGGCTGCCCTGGCTGTGCACCTAGCACTGCTCCCCAGGAGAGGGAGGGAGGAGGTCGGGGGAGAGGGCCTTGCTGACCATGTCGCTGTCTCAGCCTCCCTCTCGCCCTGGGTTCCAGAAGGAAGGAGCCCCTGGGTTCTAAGCTGGAGCTGCCCCATCCCAGGACCTCTGGGAGGAAGAGGCCGGGCGCCACCTGCTGGCCAACTGGGGAATTGACAGGGTGGGGGACACTGGAGCCTGGGGTCCCTGTGCTGGCCCCAGATGAGAGCCCTGACTCCCACCTAGCCTACCCAACCCGCCCCGCATTGTCCAGCTCAGTTCTCCAACCCGTGGTTTGGGGCCCCATTTGCAATGGTGAATCCTGAACTCAGTGCAACTCTGGCTGCTGGCAGCTGGGCTTGGCCCACACCTTCCTGTCCCCAAACCCACTGGGGACCCACCTTCTAGCTACCCCAGGGTGCCACCACCAGAGCCAGAGGCCAGTCCCATCTTTGCTCACTCCTGCTCAGAGCCTATCTGTTCTCTCCACCCCCATCTGCTATCAGAAGGACTTGAGGGCAGGAAACGCCCCTGCAGCTGTCCTCAAACATCATGGCCAAGGCTGTGCCCGGGAAGCAGACTCCCTGCAGTGTCAGCTCCCTACTCAATGCCCTTGACCTTTGTCTGGGTCCATGCTTGATGTGGCCCAACTGGCTGGGCCAGAGCTCCACAGGCACTGTCCCGATCCCCAGCCTCAAAAGGGAGGGAGGGAGGGAGGGGCCCAGAGCACAAGGGAAGCAGAGACTCAGCCACGGCCCTGGCAAGGTGGGCATCTCCTCCAAAGCCTCAGCAGGCTTCACGTGCAAGGTCAGCAAGAGTGCACTTGTTCTCTTGCTGGAACAGGAGGGCGGGGGTGACTCCTGGGACTGTGCTGGGGTCCAGGGAGGACAGGTAGCGGAGTTGCCAGGGAAGCAGCTTGCCTGAGGTCTGTGGTCATGGCAGAGGCTTCCCCAGCAGCCCCGCCCTCTCCCTGTCCCCTCCCTCCTGTCCTTGTCCTCGTGTTTATTGAAGACCACAAGAGGGGATGTGGAGAGCCCCTACAGGAAGTGAGAGCAGGAGCCTGGCTCAGCCCCAGAGGCCCCCAGACATTGAGTTCCTAAACCCGCAGGGTGGGGCATGGGCATAGGGAGACCCCAGGGTGGCCTGGCACAGCCCTGCTCCTTTACCCTGCCTGCCTGGTGGCCTCCTTAGCTTTCAGCCTCAGTGCAACCCGCTGTGGGGCCATGCTGCCCCCTGCTGGCCACATTGCAAAATGCAGCCCAGGATTGGCTCTGAGGCTACAGGTGTCCCTCTTTCCTGAAGGCTGCCGCTGGGCTGGAGGGAGAAGGGGACGCCAGTGAACAGCCGGGTGCTCCCGCCCAGGGGGATTGTCCGACTGCATGGGGAGAAAGTCCAGAACCGTGCCTGGCACATGGTAATCTTCGTGGAGTGAGGGCAAAAGTATGCGTGTGTGCATCTGAAGCATTTTGGTGCTGATGGCCTGACCAGTATCAGATATTTTTCGAGCAGCGATTTTGATGATTCTTGGGTTCACAATGTCTTATTATGGAATCCAAATGAAAACAGTCTAATGGCACCAGACAGTGATACAGGTGAGCCTAGAACAGTGTTCATGTTAGGGACTGAAGCCTGCTTTTCAGAGGAGGCTTCAAAAGAATTGAGGAACAGAGATTGATGGCAGGGATGAAAATCACAGGGCATGTTGAGGCCATATGGGTGGCAGGTGGGGCAACAGGAGAGCAGCATCTGCATATGAGGGCTTTTGATGAGTTGAACAGGGGGCTTGTCAGTGCAAAACCTGTTTTCTCTGCGTCCATGACAGCTCTGAGCAGGTGCCATTGTGATGCCTGTCCTGCATTTGAGACAGAGCATGGGGAGGGCTCTGTGATTTGTCCAGGATCCCACAGCAAGAATGTTGTGGAGCTGAGATTCAAACTTGGACTTGGGAGGCTTGTCATGTGTTAAGGACTTGAACACAAGGGTTTTCAGCAGGAAGTGATGGGCACAAGCACAGATGAGGGGCTGGGAGGTGGCGTGGCACATTACAGGCATTTGCTGCCACCCAGAGGGCAATGTGGAAGCTCCTCCTTTTACCTGCTAGATGTCCTGTATGGTAGAAGGGGCAGCTGAAGCTTGATCCTTGTGGCCACACGCCCCAGCTGTAACCTGCCTTACTGTGTGCCACGAGCCGGCCCAAAGAAGTCCCTGCAGAGGAGGGGCCGGGGTGCTGGGCTGGCTTCCCTCCTCCCCGGTGGGGCCTACCCTTGGCCCTGTCTGGTGGCATCTGCCCTCCTGAGGCATTTCCCAGCCCTTCTTCCTCTGCAGCTCGGGCTCCCTAGGGAGGCAGATGTGCTCTCAGGACAGCCTGGCAGAGCACAGCCACACGTCTGCCCTGGTAGGCCCACTCTGGGTGGAGGAGGGGCTCTGCATGCTGGTGCTCTCTCTCCCTTTCTGTGGCTGGTTTTCTTTCCACAAGCGTGGCCAGATGACGAGACTCACCCGCAGCACTACCCACATCTCCTGGAAAGGAAGTTCGTGGCAGGGCTCCCGCTATAGCCAGGCCTGCGGGAACTCTCTCCCTGACCTCTCCCACCACAGGGGAAAGCGTGGAGCTGGGCATGAAGCCTGAGGAAAGGCAGGGAGGACAGAGTGCCCCCCCAGGCTGGGCAAGGCTCCGAAAGCCCCATGTCTCCCCGAGGGGAGCAGCTTTCGCCATGAAGAGGGTCCTGGTCACCCAGGCATGAGGACATGCAAGGCTCCTGCTGTTGCGCTCACGTGATCCTCTTGTCCCACCAAAGGTGGGAAAAAGAAGTGCATGGCCTCCTGCCCCAAATTTGGTGGCAGAGACAGTGGTGCTGACCTCAGTGCTGTGTAATACCAGCCCCCCAGCCTTTGCCTGGCTCACCTCCCGCATCACCTATCAGTCCCTGTTCCTTCAGCCTGGGACCTTGGCCTGCTCAGTCCTTTCACTGGGAGCCATGTCCGTTCACAGTGACTGCTGAGTCTAATGACACCCAAGTGCCATGAAGCCAGAGCAGCAGCTCCTAGAAGGGTGACTCTGGGATCTCATCCCACCCCCGGTCCTGCCCCATCCCCTGATTAGGGCTTCCCTCTTGCTGCCTCAGACTCTCCTGTTCACCCTCAGAGACCCTATTGGGAGGCTTCCCTCTGACAAGGCACAGTCCCAAGGGGAGAAGAGAGCCCAGCATTCCCGGGACTTCGGGATCTCCTCGGTCCACTCACCACTGCCATACACCTCAGGGAGCCCTCTGAGCAGGGGCTGGACCGGGGCCCCTGTGCTTCCATGGCCTCGGCGGGCATGGTGCCCTTTTACAGTTGGGGCTGCCTGAGGATTCCAGGCATCCTGCCATTCAGCAGAGATCTTTCCTCAGCATCTTCTCCGGATCAGGCGGGCTGCTGAGCTCTGGGGCTGCCGTGGTGAATTATTTAGTAGACAGGAGCTTCCCTGCTCTCCAGGGTCCCCCTCTATGGGGGAGCCAGCACAGGAGCTGGCCAATCAGAGGAGAAGGCAGTGTAGACTGACTGGTACAGGGGAGACCATGGGGGTGCTGGGCAAGGCACGGACTTGGCTGAACACATGAGATGGCTGGGAGGTCGTCCTTAAGCTGAGACCTGAAGGGTGATACAGCTAGGCGGGCTGCAGTGTGAGAAAGACTGCACAGCTGTCCCCCAATCCCAGGGTCCCTCCCGTCTCACCCATCCTCTGCAGGCTCGTGGAGGAGTTCATGCTCTTGGCCAACATGGCGGTGGCCCACAAGATCCACCGCGCCTTCCCGGAGCAGGCCCTGCTGCGCCGGCACCCCCCGCCCCAGACACGGATGCTTAATGACCTGATGGAATTCTGTGACCAGATGGGGCTGCCCGTGGACTTCAGCTCCGCAGGAGCCCTCAATGTGAGTGCTGGGCAGGGTTCAGGGGAGGCCCCGCTTGGAGGAAAGAAGAGAAAGACCTACAAGGTCGGGGTCTAAGGGCCTCTGCTTCCCCTCAGCATCCCTCCCCTTCAGCCAGGTCTCTCCTGTAGGGGAGGAAGGAGGCCCTGGGAGAAAGGCCCCCTCTGAATCACAGGGGCCCTGACGATGGGTCCTGTCCCCTTACCAGGACTGTGCCAAGACAGATTCCTGGGGGCTTAGCAGAGAGCAGGGGTCCTGTGGCCAGAAAGGGCTGGTCTTTGGCCCAGAGGCTTTCAGTGTGGGGGCTGGAATTGTAGGAATCCAGTGCTCCTTGCCTCGGGTGAAGCTAAGGAGCCCAGGGCCTTGGCTCTGGTCCTGTAGGAGGGAGACTTCTTACCCAGGCCTGACCCTGGTGGGGGCAGGGAGGTGCCCTAGCCCAGAGCTCTGGAGCCCAGTGAGTCTAGGCCAGCCAGCAAGACCTGGAAGGGACAGATCTCAGGCCAGTGTAGGCCACAGGTTGTAGGCAGCTGACCCCTCTCCCCACCCATACCCTCTGAGCAGGGCTGAGCCCCACAGGCAACTCTGCCCCCCGAGAGCTGGGCAGGAGGTGCTCAGCAGACTATGGGGCCCAGAGTCTCTCTCCGAGCTGCCCCACATGTCACACAGGTTTCTGGGATTTGCTTCTAGAAAAGCCTGACCCAAACATTTGGAGATGACAAGTACTCACTGGCCCGGAAGGAGGTGCTCACCAACATGTGCTCCCGGCCCATGCAGGTAAGAAGGGCCCAGCTGCTGTCCCTGCCTGCCCCTGGGAGCACACATGGCCCCAGACCCGTGACCTCCATGTGCAAACACAGCCCACCACCATTCCTGCCCTGCTCTGGGCATGGCTGGGTGGACGGGGGCTGCTCCTCCTCTGCCAGAGGCGGGGACACTCCTGGGGGTGGGAGGGGAGGCCAACCCCAGGCAGCACCTGGGAGGGGCACCCTGAGCCTCTTGAGTTTGAGCCGCTGCCTCCTGCTCGGACTTGCTCAAGGACACTGTGCCCTAGAGCTGAAGGGCTACTGAGACCTCCTGTCAGGCTGGGGTCCTGGAGGAGAGACAGTGTCCCGTGGGGCTTCCTGTACCATGGAACACTCTGCAGCCTCCACCTCAGCATGTGGAGTCCAGCACCAGCTGTCGGCCTCTGGCCATTGTGGGAAAGAAACAGACTTGGCCGTGAGCCTGGGCCTGGGCCTGCGGGGAGGCAGCAGCCTGTGGGGTAGACAGCTGGGCTTGCTCTGGGACACCTGTCACAACCTCTAAGCTTGAGCTTCACCCATGTAGGGCCCGAGCATCCTGGGACCAGGACTCCAGTGGACCTTGGGGTCAGTGGGAGCTGTGGATACTGATGAGTCTGCTCTGGACCCCAGCTCAGCCCAGGGACAGAGACAGGCCATATTTCAGGGGCTGTCACTCAGCAAATTCAGTCTGTTCACAAGAATGGATGGCTTTAGCTGACCTCAGCAGATTTATCTTCTGGCACTTCACCTTGTAATCCAGCAGGACAAGCTCTGCTGGGTTGGAAGCCATCAGGGCCTGCTTGGGCCTGGCCGCCCTGACCTGCCCCCAGTCCCAAGTGTCTTCCCAGCCAAGCACCTGCAGCACCCAGCAGAGAGGGGCTGGGCCGTGCCTGCTGGGCTCTCTCTTTCTACACTCCAGTGGCTCTAGGCCTAGCAGAGAAGGCACAGCAGCCCCTGAGTCCCAGAACTGGCTCTGGCTCTGCCTGCTGGGCCCCCTCCCATGCCCCCGCCTCCGCATCCATCCAACTCCAAGGAGGTATAAGCCAAGCTGGAGCTCCAGGGATTGGAGCCGCTTCTAAGTCAGCCAGCACCTGAAAGGCTGCATTCTCCTGCTTCGCCTTCCAGGGAGCTCGGAGGCACCCTTCCCTGGAAATCCGATGGCAGGGAATCATCAGAAGGTCTCCAGTGCTCCTGTTCCTCAGCCCCGGGAACTGGGGTGGGGACAGGGCGAGGAAGCCGCAGAGAGCACAAAAAGGTGTGAGAGGGCACGCGGTCCCCAGTGAGCTTCCGCATCAGAACACCAGGGCTGTCCCAGGGACTGCTGGGCCTGTGTGAAAGCCATGGTCCCCATCTATCCCACCTGACCCTGAGCACCTCCAGCAGCCAGGAGAGGCCCTTCTCAGCCAGGTCATCTGGGGAACTGCGCCACCGCTGAGAACAAAGCCCAAATGTGTCTGGGCGTAGAGGCTGCGCCCACCTCCCCCGGAGACTTGCCCCAGACTTAACCCAGGGCCCAGCAGGGGCTGGAAGGGAAGCGGAGTTAGGGAGCCGAGCAGGTCACCGCCAGCTGCGCCCTGGATTCCAGGGCCCGTGTGCACAGAGTAACAGGAGCCGGCTGTCTGGCCAAGGCCACAGGAGGGTGTGAGTGCACAACAGCCAGGGAGCAAGGGAGCCAGCAGGACGCACGGGCGTGACCTTGGGCGTGACAAGGAAGAACCGGTTCACTTGCTCCCAGGCAGCAGCACTGGCCGTGGCCCCCAGCCCTGAAAGCTCGGGGACTGCAGGATAAGCAGCTCAAGAGGCTGTGGCCCCAACTGGGCCAGGCTGTGTGCTGGTCCCTAGAGACTCTGGGTGTCTCCTGCCCCAGTCCTGCCTCCTGCCCAGCACAAGGGCCTGTGGAACTCAGACCTCCGTGTCTCAGTCCCAGGAGGGTCAGATGGTTGGGGATGAGAAGGACCGAGGCTGACAGGCTGGAAACTGCCTCCCTTGGCTGCTGTGGAGTACTGGGGGCACAGAGGTGCTGGGGTGAAGCGTGGCTTCAGCTGGGCAGTATCAGTGCCAGAGGTGATGAGGTCGGCCTCAACCAAAGGTGGGCCTGGGCTAGAAAGGAAGCGCCAAGAGCCTGAGACTCGAGTTGCACACGGCAGGGGATGGCATCCTGGGCTTTCTCTCCCACCACCCACTCTGGCCAGATCGGAGGAGGGATTTGGCCTCCTTGAACAAAGACCCACAGGCTCCTCAGCTTCTGCATGTGTCTCCGGCAGACAGTGTCTACAGCCCCGGGTCCGACCAAACCACAGGCTTCCTCCTACTCCTCGTCATCCTCCTCCACCTCCTCCTCCACCTCTGCCTCTTCCTCCCCCTCCTCCTCCACCTCCGCTGCCTCCTCCTCCTCTTCCTACTCCCCCTCCCCCTCCTTTTTTTCTTCTTCTTCCTGGGCCAGAGTAGCAGCCCCAGCCCCCTGCTGGGGAAGGGTAGACCAGAAACTGTGGGTTCCTGGTAGTGCCTGTCCAGGCCATTCTCAGTACTGCCATCTTGAGGGCACCTGGGAGGCCCAGGCAGGCCACATTTGTCTTCTGGAGAGGAGCATGGGCACCCTTGGGCTCTGCCCAGCCAGCCTCCTGGCCTCCCTTTGGGTCCCCTTCTGCAGCAAGGGCCCTAGCCCTGGTCCTCCCTGGCTTCACTCAGCAGCCGGCAGCCCCTGTGCACACATCACTGCTGATGGCGAGACTGTGGGTGGTACAGGCCCTCCGGGTCTGGCCAGGCAGCTCTGGGCTGACCAGGCTCTAACCTGCCTTGCCCCGCCCCACAGATGGCACTGTACTTCTGCTCCGGGCTGCTGCAGGACCCGGCTCAGTTCCGGCACTACGCACTCAACGTGCCCCTCTACACACACTTCACCTCGCCCATTCGCCGCTTTGCTGACGTCCTGGTGCACCGCCTCCTGGCTGCCGCACTAGGTGAGGGGTGTGATCGGGGCCCGGGCAGGCCTGGGCCAGCTTAGGGCTGCCCACCCCAACAGCGGGTGCTCAGTGGCCCAAGACCACTCTGCCGTGACTTCAGAGGTCCTGCTTTTGGGTGACCAAAGCGCAGGCGGCCTGGCCTGGAAACTCTTCCTACGGGCCAGTGCTGCCCTCCCCACAGCCAGCTGTGGACACAGCTGGGAGGAGGGTGCTGACCTTGGAGGGCCGCTTTCTCCTGCCCTGGATGCTAAGGGCCTAATCTGACGCCTGGGGCAGAGCACTATGCAGCCCATCCCCCTGCCTTAGCACTTCCCAGCCCCCAGGCTCCCACCCTCATGCCCCACCCATGACCCCG